TGGAATTGGCTGGTGGGGATGCGCGAAGCGTGATGAATTAGCGCCGCCCCTCGGGAGCTACAAAAATCCCCGCGTGATCGGTAAGGATGCACGATAAGGATGCAAGGATCTTGGAAGGCCATGTTCACGGTTTCCGGGGATGCAAAACCTTGGGCGCAAGGCGAAACTCAAGGGTGCAAGGGTACCCTAGGAAAAATTGCTCATCCTCACTCCGCGAGTTGACTCTAACGCCCGCAGCCGTGCTCTCCGAACACATGAATGAATATCGCCACCATGCCTCCGGGCACGGAGCGGGCGTGTCCTCAGGACCTTTGTCCAAGCCTCTACGCCTCAATCCTCACTCTTGAAGAGTTTCTTAGGGGACCAGACCCCACCTACTCAAATCCGCCACCACCTTGAGGATTTCTGAACGTAAACCGAAAATTATACACCCCCCCGCATACGTCGTCCTCAATTTGGCCCACACCCGAAATCGTCCAGGCGGGGCCCGGCCTCCCCAGGCTCTTTCTGGAGCTCCTACACAGCCCCTCGAGCCTCCCAAGACTCCCCCATCACGGCCCAAGAGAGCACAAACTCGCCCAATGCTCGCTCCCAGACAACCAACATGGGCCCCAGACAGCCCTCGAAGGCGCCAAGACGCTCCCTAAATCCTCCAACAAGCGACAAGAGGGCCAAGTAGCCCAAAGCAACCCATTCCGATTGGAAAACGTACAGCGTTGCCATAAGCGACTATTCGGCCATCGCTGCGTTCAAAGTGGCCCACGAAGCCGTCCAGAACGCCCCACAAAGGCCCAAGAAGCTCCCAAAATGGCCCCAAAACCGCCCAATAAGGCGCCAAAGCGCCTCAAGAACACCAAAAAGGCCCAAAAGGGCTCGGAGCCAACCCGAAGAGTGGCCCAAGAGGGGGAACCCAAACCGGACATTCGAGCCTTCCGCCCCAAGATGCGCCCATGAGACTTCGACGCTGCCTCCAACAGGCCCGCGAGCCACCTGGAGGTCTGAGTCGTCGAAAGCGTCAGGACACCGTACACTATAAACAAACAAAAACAAACAGATGATTTCACGGCGTTGACGACAGTCCAAGAGGCCCCCGAGACCGCCCAAAGACGCCCCACCAGCCTCCAGAGGAGCCCCCAAAACAACCCAAAAGCGCTCCGAGACGGCTCCACAGGCCTCCAAAAGGCTCTAAGAAACTCGTCTGTGGGCTCTACAACAGCTCGTAGAAGCTCCCAAAAGAGGTCTACAACAGCTCTCAGCAGCTCCTCAGAAGGCTCTAAGAAGGGTTCAAAAAAACCCTGACCGGCCTGTCAGAGGACTCTGCAAGAATCCTCAGAGTGATCTCGAAGAGCTCTCAGCGGCTCTAGGAGGGCTCCACAGAGCTCTCAAGAAGCTCCGCGTAGGGCTCCATAATGATTTTTAAGAGGGCTGCATAGAACTCTCAGAGAGCTCTACAGAAGGCTCCGCACAGGGCTCTGAGGGCACTCACCAAGCTCCAAATGGTCCCAACAGGCCTCGAGCAATGCTAACGACATCTTGATTTTCCGTGGCCGGACTTTGACAGAACCGGCCAATATTGGCCACATCGGGCTGTCTTGGCAAGGATTCATACCAGTATCCCCATAATCCCCCCCCGAGGCCCCCAAACCGGAGATTTGACCCCCAGCCACTTCCCCCCCCCCAACCCACCACTCCCGCTCCGCCCGAACGCGTCAAAGGGTGATGAGAGGGCCCCCAAAACTGGGCAGCAGGGTCTCAACATCTTTCCAAGTCTGCCCCAAACGGCCCTCAGTGGCCCAAAAATCCGTCGAATACGCCAACGATGGCCGCAAGACGGCTCTAAGAAACACTCCACAGATGGCCTCTTGGACCAGTATGCGGCCCTCTTCGGCCCCCCTTCTCCCTGTGCCAGCGCCATAACGGAATGAATATGCCGCGGAGTACCCAGAATTCATGGCAACCAGTGCCACTGAAAAAAGGGGTCGGCGGATGTGGCGTAAGCCTGTAGAATCCACGTCCGGAAGTGACGTGTTGCCGGAGGCAGGTCCGCGGATGTTGTAATGCAATGGATCCAATGTGTCCAATGCTTGCATAATTCCTACATGTTGCATCACGTTACATTATTATGTGTCCCCCCCTCCCCCCCCCTGGAGTCGCGCCACTTCCATCGACCCTCAGGAGGAGGGCCCCTTCTGGGCCTCAAAATCTAGAAAAACCTATGGAAAACCGATGATTTGGGCACCTTGAGCCTTTTGGGGATCCAAGAGGGCGTGAAGACGGTTCAAGATGGTGTCAAGACGGGACAAGACGGCCCCAAGACGGCCCAAGATGGCCCCAATAGGGCCCACAAAGCCCCCAAGATTGCCCAAGAGGGCCCTCAGAGCGCCCACCAGAACGCCGCCAGAGGCCAAAAACATCGATTTTCCTTAAAGTTTGTTCAAAGAATTTCGCGTTCTCGCCTTTCCCGGCTCTCAGAGGCCCATGACGGCCCTAGCAGCCTCCAAAATGGCCCCAAGACAGCCCAAGCAGCACCCAAGGGGGCCCCAAGACGGCCCAAAGAGGCCCCCAAGACGATCCAAGAGGCCTCCAAGACGGCCCAAGAGCACCCCAAAATGGCCCAAGACGACCCCAAGAGGGCCCAAAGGCGGCCGCGAGCGGCCCCCAAGAAGTCCCCCGAAGGGGCCAAACGGCTCCAAGCGTCCGCAGACGGCCCAAGACGCCCCCAAGAGGCCCCCCGAGAGACCCGGGAAGCCCCGAAGAAGCCTCCATGACCCCCCCAAAAGATTCCGAAATAGCGCCCCAAAACGGCCCAAGACGCCCCAAAAAAAAACCCAAGAGGCTTTCAGGGGTTCTCAAATGCGCCCGAGAAGCCTTCCAAAAGCCGGCAGAAGTCCCTGAAAGGGACCCAAGGAACTCCCAACTCACCACTCCAGGACGTTTCCATATGAATGCCTCGACGATTGCAGGACGGCGCGGCGTACGTCGTGTCGTAATCGCTCCGTGGGAGTGCGGGTGGATAGGTGAATCCATTGTCAAGCCGGCCAGTCAGTGCAAGGAAATACACCTGACACGAAGTACTTGGCCGCAGAGGCCCCCAAGAAACCGTCGTTCTCTGCGTCGTCGTCGTCAGTTTTTCGAGCTGCGTCCAGCCGTGGCGACGGGGGAGCCCTCGACGGAGAGAAGGCCACGAACCTCGACCCTCGAGGCTCGAACCTCGGCGCGAACCTCGGCGACGGCCCCAAAAGAGCACGAGCATCAGGTTCAGACGCCCGCGAAAGGTTTGACCGCCAGCGCCCACGACGACGACGCCGACGATGCCGACGATGCCGACGATGCCGACGCCGACGCCGACGGCGACGCGACGACGCCGACGACGACGCCGACGCCGACGCCGACGCCGACGCCGACGCCGACGACGACGACGACGACGACGACGACGACGACGACGACGGCGACGGCGACGGCGACGGCGACGGCGACGGCGACGGCGACGGCGACGGCGACGACGACGACGACCACTCATTGGGCGGCGCCCTCGGCGCCGCTCCCGTGCGCCCCTCGCCAGACCTCCGGGCGTGCCAAAAGTGGTGGCCCCCTTCTGGGCCTCAAAACCTATAACAACCTGTGGAAAATCGATGATTTCGGCTCCTTGGGCCTCTTGAGGGTCCAAGACGGCGTGAAGACGGCTGAAGATGGTCTCAAGACGGGACAAGACGGCCGCAAGACGGCCCAAGATGGCCCCAAGAGGGCCCAAAACGCCCCCAAGATGGCCCAAGAGAGCCCGAAGAAAGCCCACCAGAGGGCCTCCAGATGCCAAAAACATGATTTTTTGTTAGTTTTTCAAAGATTTCAGCGTTCTCGGTGTTGTCGGCTCTTCAGAAGCCCATGACGGCCCAAGCAGCCTCCAAAATGGTCCCAAGACAACCCAAGAAGCACCCAAGGTGGCCCCAAGACAACCCCAGGGAGCCCCAAGTCAGCCCAAAGAGGCCCCCAAGACGGTCCAAGAGGCCCCCAAGACGGCCCATGAGGATTCCAAGAGGGCCCGAAGGCGGCCGCGAGAGGCTCCCAAGAAGGCCCCCGAAGGGGCCAAACGGCGCAAAAGCGCCCCAAGACGGCCCAAGACGGCCCAAGACGCCCCCAAGAGGCCGCCAAGAGGCCCCCAGGAGACCCCCAAAACGCCACAGGAAGCCTCCAAGAAGCTTCCAAGAACCCCCCAGGAGGCTTCCAAAAAGCCCCACAACGGCTGGACTGTACGTGCTCCGGACGTGCACCCCGCGAAGCGAGAGGAATCTTCATAATCATCAGCATCATCATCATCATCATCATCATCATCATCATCATCATCATCATCATCATCATCATCATCATCATCATCATCATCATCATCATCATCATCATCATCATCATCATCATCATCATCATCATCATCATCATCATCATCATCATCATCATCATCATCATCATCATCATCATCAGCATCAGCATCAGCATCATCATCATCATCGTCGTCGTCGTCATCATCATCATCATCATCATCATCATCATCATCATCATCAGCATCATCAGCAGCAGCATCATCATCATCATCATCACATCATCATCATCATCATCATCATCATCATCATCATCATCATCATCATCATCATCATCATCATCATCATCATCATCATCAACGTCATCATCGTCATTATCATCATCATCATCAGCAGCAGCATCATCGGGAGCAGCAGCATCATCATTATCATCATAACCCCCACCACCACATCATCATCATCACCATCACCATCACCATCACCACCACCATCATCATCAGCATCATCATCATCATCATCAGCATCATCATCATCATCATCATCATCATCATCATCATCATCATCGCCCGTGCCCTCCTTTATATCCTCTTATCCCTCCTTCTCTCTCTCTCTCTTTCTCTCTCATCCTTCTCCGTCTCCCCATCATTGTCCTGACCTTCCTGGGACTGGCATCTTTTCGAGCCCCCGCTCCATCTTCACTGCGCATCCGGCTGGCGTGTCCACTATCTCCTCCCTGAGGCGCGCTCCCTTCTTCTCGTGGCACGCCAGCAGCTCATCTATGCTTGACGTGTTGTCGGAGCAGTTGAAGGAAAGCAGCCTGTGCTCCCCGGGGTTGGAGCTAGCCCGAAACATGATGAGCCAGAGGCCGATGGCCGACGCCCCGATCACCACGAGAACCACTCCGACGGTGCGGCAGACGGTGACCAGCCTCGAAGTCACCCCTGCGTACGCCTGAGGCTAGCAGGCCTCTGCCAGCGACAGTCTCGGAGAAGATGTCCCTCTCAGCCTCGACCTCACCCTCCACAACCCCCCTTCCCCCCTCCTGGCCCGCCCTCTAAAAAAACCTCTGGACATAAGAGAACCTGGCGTCGAGCTTGGGCAATCCCGACATCGAACGCCGTGAACTTAGATCGGTTAAAACGCAACCAAATCCCTCCTCTTGGCCCCATGTTTCTGCGGTGCTTCTCGGGCCATGTCAATCCGTCAAGGGCGTGAAAGCCCGCCGTGTTTTGTTCTGACGTCCGAAGTCAGCAGGAGGGATGACGACCACACTGACATGAATTCAAAATGTTCGAAGTGGGTAGGGCGCGACACGGCAATTCAAAGCAGCTCTGGGCAACGTAAGGCAAAGGCATGCAAATCATTGTTCTTCACATTGCATTGCATTTCTAGGAACTGTTTTGGGGTGCTTCGCATTACTTGACATCGTTACTAGCATCGCTTGGCATCGCTTAGCATCATTTGGTAGTGTTTAGCACTGGTTGGCATCATGCGGAGTTAATTGGCATGACAGCATTGTCTCATGTTGCTTGGCGTTGTTTGGAGTTGCCTGGCATTCATTGTCATTATTTGGTACTGCTTCGCATTGCTTGCCACTGCTTGACATTGCTTGGCACCGCTTGACATTGCTTGGCGCTGCTTGGCATGACTCTGCATTGCTTGGCGGTGCTTGGCATGCTGTTTAGCATTTTTGGCGTTGCTTGGCATCACCTGGCATTGCTTGGCACTGATTGGCGTTGTTCGGCATTGCTTGGCATTGTTTATTAGTGCTCGGCATTGCTTCGCACTTCTTGGCATTGCTTCGCGTTTCTTGGCATAGCTCAGCATTGCGCGGTTCTGTTCGGCATTGCTTGGCACTGCTTGGAGTGCTCGGCGATGCGTTGCACTGCTTTGCATTCCCACCCAACACACCAGGGAATCCTGGGGACACCCACGCAACGCCGGGGAACACAAGGCACCCCGAGCAACGCCAGGGGCCAAGAAACCCGTGGCAACCCCGGGTAACCGAGCAACCCCGAACAACCCAGGGAAAGCAGGCGGCGCGGCAGCACTGCCAGGCCACGACGCAGCGCAGAGAGACGGGCGGAGGAGGAGGAGGAGGGGGACGGGGCCGAGCACGAAGAGCGGCCCCCAGCAACAGCCAGGGATGGCAAAGAAAAGGGTCAGCAAATCTATTATTGGGCATGCTGCGACAAAGACCCAAACTTCCTCGGAGCATCCTGGATGCCTGTATTCGACTGGACGAAATGAGGGGGCGGCACGACGAAGGGGAGCAGCCACAGCAGCACCAAGCAGAGAAGCAGGCAACGGGCGGTGAGCGGAATCGGGAGCGGTCGCTGGGGGCGGTCGTCGGGGCGGACGAAGGCGTGGCAGGCGCGGGCGCATCCGGAACAGCGCGGCGTCTGCTGGCGGCGGCGGCGGCGGGGACTGCGACAGGCGCGGACTGGGGGGCAACGCGGCATCTGCTGGCGGGGGCGGCCTGGGACAGCGACGGCGGCGATGACCCTTGGAGGCGGGACGGACGCGTCGTCGCTTGGGCAACACGGGCCCTTTTCGGATATCGCCACCCGCCTGGCTGGAGCACGCCCACCCCGCCCCCTGAGCCCGTCGCCGCCCTCAGAGGGAGCGGAGGGGGGAGGGCGCAAAGCGGCGCCGGCGGCGACTCACACGGCGTCAGACGCGGCCGCCGCCGCGACAGCTGCAAGGCGCGCAGCAGCCACCCCCGTCGACGGCTGCAACCGCCGCAACACCAACACCGCCCGCGCATTCTCCCGATGAAGGGAAACTGAAAATCGTTGGGCGCCCCGGTCCACCACTAGAGCGGAATCCTCCCTGGCGGCCTCAACAGCCCGCTTGGCCAAGATCGCGAAAGCTCTCCTGGGGTCGCTCCCTCACCCGCCACCGTGGGCCTCCACCACCAAAGGGGTGAAGGTGAGACTACGACGCGCACTGGCGCTCGGCGTCCAGGTGTTGCCGCTTGAACTCCTCGCGCCGCTCGATAGCCGCGCTGGAGAACGCAACAGAAGCAGCGAGGAAGTCGGCGCGCTGTCCAGAAGTGGCGGCGAAAGTCCAAGCCGCTGGCAACCCGTTGCGCCACCTGGGCAGGTAGACGTCAGCGGGGCGCTTGTGGCCGGCGCCCACGCCTGGCCCGTCCTGCTCGCCGCTCGCAACCCCTCGTTGGCGGCGCGCG